GATTTGAGTCATTCATTCATTTAATCTCTCAATTACTCACACATTCACACCTAAGGGGAATTTAGATTATTCAATTAACCTAACTGCATGGTTTTTTTTGGATTGTGAGGGAAACCTCAGAAAAAGGCATGCTTTAATTAATAGTACTGCATCAATGGAATCTCTGACTTTTATTAATTGATTAAAATCATCTATTATCCATTATTATACATAATAATTTGGTTAGTAGAAATATTTTGTTACTGGGTAACTTTTCCCTTTATATATAAATTACCCAGGAATCTCCCATTTTGAAGGTGCTCTCTTTGAATATGCATAGCATCTAAATAAATGCTTTAAAAGGAATCTCATCTACTCATTTAGATACTTTCTGTATATTAGACCATTCTGGCTCCAACCAATGCAAATAATGTCAGTTTTGGTTAGTCTTAGGCACACTGTGCTGTTTAATTATCTTAGATAGTGTGTGTTTTTGTGTGTGACTTGCAGCTGTAAGCTTGGTAATGTGAGTCGTCTAATGAGAGGAGACAGATCTGTACTTACGGCATTAGTTTGCTTGGCTCAGTGTGCCTAACATACACACACACACACACACACACACACGCACACACACGCACACCTTCCAATCTCTGTCCGCCCTGCTTTTCTTTGCTCTTGTTGCAGCATGGAAAGCACAAACACCACGTAATACTAATCACTCATTTCTGGTTGCTTTGATAACTGTATAGACACATTTACTTCACATTGTTATATTCTTATTGTGTACTACTTAGAAAAAATGATAATGACGTGGAATAAAAATTTGCAAATATGATATAGAACGTGATAGAAACTGATGCAAAATCAATGCACATTTATTGTTTGTTGGTATGTATCACTAAATGGCGAATGCTCGTGCATTTCACATGCAAGGGTGAAAACATGGCAAATGCACCGCAAACACAGGCACATCCTTGGACAGCATGAAAGCAGAGCACAACCACTTCCGGGTTTAAGCACTATGTACTCATCTGACAATAGAGATGGATCATGCTTCTCCCTGTTCATCCATTAAAAGCACCCACTGCGTGATTTAACATTTAATTACATCAAAAAGTAGCTGAAGGGTCTGTAACTGTATACAAAGTACCAAATACGAACTTTGTTACTGTAAAAGGCTGGAATTATTATACATTTTCCTTCAAGTTTTAACCTTGAGTCTTAACTTAAGTCTGCATGTGCCAATTAAAGCGGATGTTTAAAATTAAGTAGGAATGGTGCAACCCTGCTATTGTTTAACTTTGATTTTAAATATAATGTGTAGGTTTCAAAATTAGTTTTAATATTTTGTTTTTTAAATGAAAGTTACAAGAGTTATGACACATAGTTGGCAAGGTAATTCAGATTAAAATGAGAGAAAATGCGTGATCGTCCTTCAGTTTAATTTTACAGACACCAAATCGGTGCCATCTAGTGAGAAAATAAGCGATAACCCTTGGAAGTGCAATACCTTTGATATGGCTTGTGTTTTTCAAAGTTCTGGCACAAAAAAAGCATAATGGCACAAAAAGTGCCAAAAGTTCTGTCACAAATTCATTTGCCACAAAAAAAAGAATAATTTAGTGGAGTATATTGTAAAGTAGTTAAAAAAATGCATTATTATAAAGGGTTAATTGACAGTATTAAAGTTCATGGCTTTTACATATTAATATACTCTGGCAAATAATACATGAACATCAAAGCATGACCTTTTATGTTTTGTTTTATGTTAAAGAATGAAATGTTTATGCTTGACAGCCAATCAGAATGACAGCTCAGTTAATGGTTTCTAAAAATATTATGTTTCCATATCTGCAGGCTAATGAATGGAATACTTTTTTCTTTTGGATCATCTTAATGCTTGGAATATTGAGGTGTGACTAAAATAACCATTAGCTGCTCTATGTCTCTTTCTCTTATAGGACTCAGATTAATTTCACAGTGGCCATTGATTTCACGGCTTCTAACGGTGAGTGACGTCTCCATCCCAGTGATTAACATTCATGCAGATGAGGCATGAATAATAGCTGTCATCTTCTGTGGGCTCCATGTATTCAAAGGGAACACCTTTGGCAAATATATTAGTTTTCTAGCGTCTTATGTAAATTTCTTTACAAAATTTATGTGATCTTGCATTTTTTTCTCTGCTGCAAACATTCTGTTTTACCAATATACAGCCAGAAGTTGTTAAATGTAATCAATTGATATGTGATAAAAGGATATTAAAAAGCCACGTTTTATTTGGTAATGCAAATACTCACTTTTTTTCTCCCGCAGGCAGCAAGCAAGCAGGATTATTTGTTGTGTTCCCCTATTTTTTATTGATATTTCAATCATCTAAGTGCTACATCATGACACTCACCCAGGGAATGAATCTCTTATTGACATGTTCCTTTGTTCCTCCACTTGATGATCCATTTCAAATGTCCATCTGTAGTTTCAAAGAAGAATTTAGATATAAAAATGTACCTAAATAGCCTCTAAATAAATTAATAAATCATGCTGGTTTTATGGAAGTATTCCCATGGTTACGACCACACAGCATTGTACGTATTGTGTGTGGGAGTACAATTCGAAATATAAAAAATGTATAAAATTAAGTGTATTCCAATTTCCAGCCTCATTGCTATCGGAAAGGCATTTTTCAAAATTATGATTGGAACTTAATCTCTTTAAAGAAAGAACAAATATTTGGACAATCAAACTTTGGCTGAAGCATAATTTGAACAGGTGTTTCCTCCAAGGAGTGCACTTAGTTTAAAATTTGAAAGAAAAAAAACATGGATGACAACTTAGGCTCTGTATAAATTTGCACAGCTTTCAATTCCAATTAAAATATGTGATTACTGCATTTTATATGAAGTCTTTATCCCTATTTTGTGAACCTGAGTGATTAAAAATGAGATTTCAAAGTAAGCAACTAAAGTGCAACTTAATTTAATAAAGATTGTATACAGATAAATGTAGCAGAAAAACATGTTTATGTATGTTGCAATGACTGCAAAGTAGTGAAATACATCAGAAAATATAACCAATAATTTGTTGTTTATCACATTAGTTGATACTATTAGCATTAGCTGTCGAGAAAGTCATCTCTTTCAGAAGATAATTGTTTCATCACAGGTTGAAGTTGATCATTCTCTGTAATTATGCATGTGGTTAAATGTGTTGCTTTTTCAGATTACAACTGATTAGCATTGAACACTAAAATCCTATAGTGCTTTTTAGTTTTGCATTTGAGGTCACAAGTTGGCATCTCTTTTTCTTCATTGCCAGGTAACCCAGCCCAGCCCACCTCGCTGCATTACATGAGTCCATACCAGCTCAACACCTATGCCATGGCTCTCAGAGCCGTGGGCGAGATCATTCAGGACTATGACAGTGACAAGATGTTCCCAGCCCTGGGCTTCGGAGCCAAACTGCCACCCGATGGAAGAATTTCACACGAGTTTGCCCTGGTTAGATTCATCTATCCATCCAACACTGTGGCTGAATTGCATGCACAGAAATAGTCCATTTGGTTATATTATGTAAGGCAAAAAATGTTCCTATGCACAGAAAAATGCACAGACTTGCGGTCTAAATCAAAACTGAAATAAGATCTGAATAAGAACTGAAATTTTATCTCATTTAAATATGTATTACCTAGAAAATTATGCGTTGTAACTCTTGTAATGCTCATTTAAATCCAAAATATCGAAACTTTTGAAACCTTTATGAAACCTACACATTATATTTGAAATCTAAATTACACAATAAGTGGATTGTGTTTCATTTATCCTTAATTTTAAACAACTTAATCTAATTTAAGATGCTATAATGCCCACACGCACCGGTGCATGTATGGGCTTCTATTGGTTAAAGCGTAGTTAACCCTCTTGTTCACACCACTGCTTTTGGACTATAGGGAAGCTGAAGAGATCAGAAACAAAGGAACATACAAACTCAAAAAAGGCTCCATTGTCCTAAAGTTGCCAACCAGTAGCTCAACCCACTGCAGCACTAACAGCTTTTTAATGACATTAAAGATAAAAAGTTTGCAGATGCTGGTAACCACACGTGCCTCACTACTGAATACAAAGCATTCGATTACACACATTTCCTCATCCTCCTCACAATGCCTCAGAGGACACTTCGTTTCTCTCAGTGAATGCAGAAGATCCTTAGCGGAAGGTAATAACTGAAAGGTGCCACACGCTGCTAAGTAAAAGCCTTCTCATACTCGAACAGTCATCACATTTGCAGCTTTTTACATCAATATATTCTGATCATGTCTGGAGGGTTCCTGGATGTTCACTCTTAAATCATTGCTATTCTGTTTTATTTTTCTTCAGAATGGAAACCCACAGAATCCGTACTGCAATGGCATTGACGGAGTCATGGAGGCTTATTACCAGAGTCTCAAATCTGTTCAGCTCTACGGGCCCACCAACTTCTCACCAGTCATCAACCATGTAGCCAGGTACACTCACACTATTAACCTTCAAACAAATGATTTGCAATGTTAACAAAGAGACTCAGAACACTCTTGAGAAGAGATTAATAGAAAGATGAAAAATATGACTCTTGTTACTGTAAGCTCCAGAGAGGAATGATAACAGAATCAGACGATTTAACTTCAGTAGTTTCTATTGTTTCTACGTAATTCCCTTTTCGGTTTTATCAGAAATCACAAAGAGATGGTGCAGTGTGAGTATGAAACTGCTTAGCAGTATTATCACGCATTATGATATCACACAACACTTACATGCAACTGTCTCTGGTGGGTCACTTGAGGCACTTTTGAGAGCCACTGAAGCATTGGCTATCCCCTAGTTTTTTAACTCTATAAATATTGCAACATTTTCCTGTCATAGCTTTCGCGTTTAAAGGTCTCCAAATTGAGATTCCCAAAAATCTTCAAATGGCTTCTCAGCAGGACTGTAAAAAAATTCTGGAATTTTACCCTTGAATTGCAGAGAAACTACATGATGTTACTACAGGCTTTCCTGTGACTTAATTGGTAGAGCATTGCACGCACAATACAAAAGTCGTGGATTCAAATCCCAGAGAAAGCAAGAGCTGACCAAAAATGTGTTCATTCATTCAATATGTAAGTCGCTTTGGATAAAAGTGTCTGCCAAATGCATAAATATAAATATAATGATTTGGGGGGGGGGGGTATTTTATATGCGAAGGATCTCTGACATAAAATAAAAAATATATTTTTTTTTACCCTTCACCCCAGTCTTGGATATGTCTAACAGCATAGTTAGTAAAAACATTGGCATTTGGTGGATTTTCATTTTTAATGTTCACTGTCATTCCTGTTGGGAAGAGTTTAAATTTGAGGTTTTTATTGTTGATCACCGGATTCTGAAATCAGTAACATCATGTAAGATCTTGACAATTAAAATTGGTAAAAACTTTTTATTAGAGCTAAGGTAAATAAAGAAATGTGTGCAAAAAACAGAAAGAAAATATTGACCTGATTTAGATTAACTTTATACAGTTTATTAAACGTCTTTTGGGAGGAGTCTATCTGGAGCCACCTACTTCAATTATTCAATCAACCCTCTTCCATATAAGCTGTTCCTTCCTCTTGTTCCCTGACTCAGTCTGAATCAGCTTCATCACTCCCACCTTCCTCCCCTTCACCTCTCATGGGTGTCTACTCGGACGCATCCGAGCAAGCCTGCACGTTTGTACCCGCCTCACACGCTTATGAACTTAAAGCAGGTCCAGATATTCGAACTTAGTGCCCACAACACATAAGGGTAATGAATTTGAACAATGCTCAAGGGTTAAGGTTAATATAACAGACAGAAATGTTCATTGTGAAATGTGTCATTGTACTGTGATCTGTGGAAAACTCAACAGATCCATTTATATTGATAACGTGGATCCTGTGTATCGGAACATATGACTGTTGCACACTTCATCATGTTTTTAAACTCATTAGATTTTGTATTCCAGAAACGGAGAGAGTTGCTGCCAGTCATGGCAAAACAGTTTAGTCATAACTCAAATTAAAATGAATATTGCTTCCTCAGAAATAATGTTCCATTAACCTATGTTGATCTCTCTTAACATCACGTGAAATCCTCACAAGCTCCTGTGCTTCTGAACCTCCATTAGATCCCAGTTAAACTCTAGGTGGACTAAACCCCTGCTTCTAACCTACAATGCCCTCAATAGCATTGCTCCTTCATCCTCATGAGATCCTCCTGTCATCCATACTCTGCCATGCGCTCTTAGTTTTTCATGAGCCATGTGTCTTGAGCTCACCTAAAACATCCCAGGGTCGGTGTGCTTTTAGCTGTACTGCAAATGCTGTTAGGAATAAAGTCCCTGTCTCAGTCAGACACAGTTCTACTTAGACAGCTTTTAAATCTTATCTTAAAAGGAATACAAATAAGTAGATGATTTAAATACTTTTTATACAAAGATGCTTTTTAAAAATGTATCCTAAATGTTATTTTCATGTGCTGTGTTTCGGAGCAATGGGTGGCTAGAGAGTTGCTAAACATACATTATTTATCATTATTGTTCATCTCTATGTTCTTGGGTGCAGATACGCAGCCTCTGTGAAAGACGGTTCGCAGTACTTCATCCTCCTCATCATCACGGATGGTGTGATCTCAGACATGGCACAGACCAAAGAGTCCATCGTTAATGTGAGTCAGCTTAATTCAGTAAAGTGTGGACAGTGGAAGCATACAAAGTTCAACCATCACGTTAAAAACCAAGAAGGTTAATTGTTTGGTTCAGCTGATCAGGACCTATATGCTAGAGACGCTATGGGTTCTCCAGTTATGCTGAAGAAAGAATATCACTCCTTGATAGTCTGTGAAAATTTGAGAACGTTTATTAATCTTCTTTATTGCAGCCCTACCACCAACATCCTGACCATTCTTGCTCACAACTCTTTCTCGAACTCTTTACTTGGACAGCTTAACTAGTATGCTTGCCACATATCTGTCAAATACGATTGTGATACTAAAGCTAGTCCATGAATTGGTTTATGGTGTGTGGTGCATGTGGGAAATGTCACTGGACATCACTGTACAGTAAACAGTTATACACATTATAGTTGTGTAGTGATTTATCTGATCACGACTCCAATTACTTCAGACACTTGTGTTTAAACAATTATGAATTGACTCTGTTTTTTTAAACAATAGCTATATACATAGAGCGCTTTCACGTTACACACTATATCAAAGGTCATTTTCAAAAATACATTATTGGGGCACTTTAATTCTCTAAAAGATGTGCCTTTGAATAGAATAAAGTATATAAAATAATCTCAATTGCCAACTATTCATTCAATGTTTGCTGAGCTATTTTTAAAATATATAGTGTGTTGTACTGAAATTTGATTAAGAGAATGAAAATATTTATTTTTTTGAATGCCTGCTGGTTTTAAAAATGTTATCTGTTTTGTTGAATCCTTGATTCCAGGCTGCATCTCTTCCCATGTCCATCATCATTGTTGGAGTTGGACCGGCCGAATTTGATGGTAAATATGAAAAAATACAATCAGAGGCTTAAACGTTTCTACACTGAACAAATGTTTACTCAGATATTGTGGCCCTGTGGTATAGTGGAAGTTGCAGTGGACATGTATTACATCCTGAACTTGTCATCATTTCCCAACCCTCCCCTTCTCTCTACCTGCTTCTCTTCCAGTCTAAATACTGTTATGTAATTTCTAATTAGAAGCTAAAATGGCCAAAAAAAGAATTTATTGCTAATATTTCAACTCAAATGTACTCACCATTTTCTTTTTCTTTTTTAATAAAAACTTCCTATGAAATATTTGAGTATACACACATGCACACACATGCGCACACACGCACGCACACAGACGATAGAGAAAGAATGAGAAATAGTTTCTTGATATAGATGAGCTGATAACAAAGGTATTATCAGCTTGGATTAAGTAATGTTTGATCTAATTATCCTTCAGTGTTTTCACACTCATGCAAAAGACTTTTACCGCATGCTCCCATGTATCTCTCCTCAGCCATGATCGAGCTAGATGGAGATGAAGTCAGAATCTCATCAAGAGGCAGATATGCAGAAAGAGACATTGTACAGGTACAGTAACACATTTCCATCCATTTCAAATATGTTTCAAACATTTATCTTTTTATGAACTTTCAAAGTTTCTATAGTTGAAATAGAAACTTTGAAAGTTCCCATGAAAGGCTATACAGAGTATTCTGTATTCTGATTGGCTGGCAGGTGTTAATTAAATTCTTATAACTGTGCAGGTAGCTACGGTTCTGTTTGTTCACTTTTAAAGTAAATTTGCTTCATTGGTAGCCATGGCAACTCATCGGTTGAGAGTGAAGCGGCATCAGTAAACTTTTCCAGTTTCACTGAACTAGAATTTTTGACATATACAGTAGACTTAAATCTGATTTGTGGAACACTTTGTGGTTCTTATTTGCGTTTCAGCTGTGTCAGAGATCCTTCAGCCCAAATGTAAATCAGTCACATTCACATTCATGAACTCTGAGTTGGATCCTTAGCTTTGTTTCCTATAGCATTACAGTAAACCTGATCTATTAATGGGGGTTACCTTCCCAAAGAGCCTGCAAAAGCTGACAACAGTGATAACTCATGGCTATAAATGCATCATGTTGTAGTTTAAAACCTAAACGTGTCTCCAGCTATGCTCTAAACACTCTACTTTACAAAAATAATTGCTGTCAATCTATAAAAAAATGAACAAATTAATCACACATTTTTTTGCAATTAATCATAATTAATTAAAATACAGAAACTGTTTGGATGTGTAAATTAAAAATGTAATTAATTAATTAATGTAAACGAAATATAACGAAACTATTTAAATTCAAGATCTGATTGAAATTTGAGTTTGGCTTGTAACACAGATTTTCTATCGTAAACAACATACCTGCAATAAACTATCAATATCCTGCAAATTAACTGTTGACTTGAAAGCCAAATTTATTATAGTTTATTTATCACAAAAACAAGTAATATAAACACAAAAGGAAGCTGGATGGGAAGGGACAGACAGTCGTGAAACACAGAATGAGTGATCATGTGACTGAACTCCGATCACATGACCAAGGTGGAAGTAAATGCATGGAGAAAAGTATGAAACGGGCGAAAAATAAGGCATTAATATAACAGACTGTGACAATTATTATCCATAATTCTTTACATGTTGATCATACAGAAATACAAAAAAAATGTAAACCGCATTGAGTTAAATTTTAGGTGTTAAATATTTCAAATAAATCACATGCTCATTTTGTCAACACTTATAAAATATAATATAGGTCCAATTAAAGATGATGATTATGGTGATGCAGGGCTTCGGAGTTTAGAGGAAGGACTTAGATGCAGAGGAGACAATTTGGAAAGAAAATGTATTGAATGGAACACAAGCATTTAAGCAGCACCGTCTCCTGGGTGGCCATTAAGCAACAGTTACTGAAGTGACTTAAAACAAAACTGGCAGCAGATAGCCAGCTGGAACAGGCTGAACCTCAAGAAATCTCACAGACAGCAGGCAAAGACGTAAACTCTGAAAATACTCGAATAAAGACAGACACAAACATGAGACTTCAAATACCCAGCACAAGAACAGCCAACAAGGATCGGGTGAATAGACTGAAGAACCGTCAGAGCAAAAGAAGCAGGTGAAACAAAACTCCTGCTGACAGGTGCCAACGGATGATTGTGTTTGTTTGTGACCCTGCTATGCTTCAAATCCAGCACCTCTTACCTTTTTCTTATCTTGACTTTGTGGTTTTCCGTCATTCACTGCAGGCAGGTGCAGGTGTAGGTGACATTCATGCCTTGAACTTAAGAGAAATACTGCACTGTAAATCTGACGAGGCAGTGAAGTGAATTCTCACGCTCTTCTGTTTGTCTGCGACGAGCCTGGGAAATTGGCCGCCAGTAAAACCGGGGATTTCTCTATTGAGTTTGTGGAGTTGGTGACAAATGAAAATTCTGCTTCCAGCCCTGAAATTCCCTCTATTTTGAGGAACTGAAATGTCTAAGAACTCATCTTTCAGACTCAGCTCCTTGT